AAAGTCTTCGTTCTATGTTGCCATGTATTTGGTTGTCCAGTAAGTCTCTCACCCGCTTACCCGTATATCTCCCCCTGCCCTACTGTAATCATTTTGAAAAGGGGGGGTTCGCTGACTCCTGGGGCTGTCCTAAAATATGTATGTCATGCGTCCCGGCAATACCTGAACCGAGGGCCGCTTCTGAAATCGAACTGAAAGCCAATAAAACAGAAATCAAAAAAAAATTGAAAATTTGAAAAATCGAAAAATCGAAAAATCGCAAAGCCGGCCTACCAAAATGATGGGACAACGAAAATCCGAAGAATACAAACAGGATGACATGCACAACATACAGATGCACAGAGCGTGATGGCTGAACATCAGGTTACGACGTATGTGGTTCACCTGTTGTCCTGGTGCGTCTCGTCCTCCCGGCTGCCTAACAGTCATCCTACTGCGCTCCCGGCATGCCTAGTGGTCCGGTGCGCTTCATCCTAATTCCTATCCTATGGGCTTCGTTATTCTACCCGGGCAGCCATTGGATACCTCGAAGAGGTTCCTCCCTTTTCCCTCTGCATCAGCGTTGTAAGCAGCATCCGCATCTTTTCGACCCTTGGATCCGCCGCAGCTTTGGCCAAACGGGCCAAAGCACAGAGAGAGACCTCTGGGGGGTAACTTCGGAGGTCGGCTCCAACCATAGTAAACGCAATTGCGCCCATTACCAGCGGCTTGCTAGTAGTCTGTTCCCAGAGTCTCTTCACACTCTTATCAGAATAAGAAGTGCAATCCAGCATAGCTTGGAATTCCAGTCCCCTGCCCTTCGTCAAAGATTCTGTATTCTTCGTGTGTGGTACATAGTGTATCTCGATTGGATCATTACGCAGGAAAACGGAGCCTCCTACAAATGGCCACGTCAGACCACAATCGTCTTTCCTGACAACTTCGAGTTGTCTGCCATATATGTCTTCAAAAGCTTCGAACAGAGTCGTCGCCCGGGTCGCACTGGTCTGTCCCACCACAATTGAGATGTCATCCATGATTCGCCAACCAAAGATAAGGCCCCGATCCCTCCCCAGGGAGCAGAGGAACTGCATCTCGGCCATAGCACAAGTAATTGATGCAAGTATCGGGCTCGTCGTCTTCCCCATGGGGATACCGAAAATCTGCCTGAGTAGCTTGTTTCCACATCTCACCACCGAATTAAGCAGGTCAAACTGTACTCCCGCCAGCAGTTACTTCAGCTTGATAGAGACATATCCCTTGGCTTTTCGTCTCGTCTTGCTCAAAACGCACAACTTGCCTTTGTACGACACCTTCATCGTCTGCCATCCCTCGTCTTCGTACTTCACGAGCATCTGGGTGACCGCCTGTAGCACGGCCTCATGCGGAATCCTGGAGAACATTTCCTTAATGTCGTAGCATCGTCCTGTCACAGCCGTGCATCCTTCGTTCCTCAGTCTTTGCGCAGCTGCTTCCATCCGTCTGCCGGGCTCGGCCACCGAGTTCAGATAGAATGAACTTGTTGTCGGTAGACTCACAAGGAGACAGTGTAGTGCCCTTGCTACTCTTCGTTGTGCGAGGGCACCCGGATCGGATGGCGCTGGTGCTATGGGTCTCCACCTATCCAAGTCTTTGTGCTTCGGAATCACATATGCGGTTCCGAGCCTCCCGTCAGGTTTCCAACCGCCGATCATGTCCAGCTTGAGGTTGGTGAAGGTCGCTTTACACTTCCGCAACAATTCGACTTCCGATTCCCGATTGCCGACGACTTCGTAGTTCTCATTCCAGAGAAATATCTTCCCGAACGCGTGACGGTACAAAATCGGACAGATAACCGCAGTATCTCCTTGGTTCCGGTCTATCGGTGTGAGCACCAGTCCTTCCAACATTTCCTTCCAGTTGTCGACCTCATACTCCGTTCAGGCTGGGCTCCGCTTTGCTTCCTTTCGTATAATGCCATCCGGTAGGCTCACCGGTATCGCAGGCCCTCTCAGGTGGTTCGTAGCAGCCAAGATGGCATACGCCTATCCACTGCTCTATTCGATCTCGTCACATTCCGCGAGTTTCTGACAAAGTCCGGTACGTCCTTCAGATCCGCAAATCTTGTCCTGACGTGTCCTTCCACCTTCGGTAGCTTGCTATCTGTACATTTGCAGATCCGCTCCACCTTTGTCGCATATCTCTTCGGGTTGTGCAGTAGCTCACCAATAGTCTTGTTCCTACTCCAGACCAACCTGATTTTGGTCTTTACGAATGTTGCTAGTGCTTTGTCGTCGATCTTTCTGCGGATCAAGTCTTTGGTCGCCCTTCACACGCTGCTTTTCTTGATCAGCGCATCATATTTGAGCTTCACTATGATGCGCTTCCTGATACTCACTACGGTCGTCCGTCTTACAGCGATATCGATCTTCAGACGCAGTGAAGCCTTAGTCTTCTTCTCCGCGTAATATCTTGCGTAGAAAGATCTTGTTTTTCTCCGTAGTTGTCTTTTCCCTTACTATCTCCTGGAACACCACCTGACTTCGACTCCTTCAGTTTCTTGATCTCGCGTGTGGCTTCCAGTGTGGTCTCACCATAGCTGGTGTCGATCGTCCACCATCCATCAGTCCAGACTTCCCCCTTGTTGAATGTCACGTCTCCCAGGTTTTGTGCTTGCTCCCGGTGTTCGTCGAGCAGCTTGATGAGCGACACCCTCGTCACTCCGCGGTGGGTGCAGGTCACCACACTCTTTGTTCTCATGACACATGCTCTTCCCCTTCTCTCCCGCTTTCCTTTCCTCTGTCTCCTCCTCATTCTCCTTTCCTCCTTACCTACTTCCCTTGTGTTCAGACTCGAACACAAGTCGGAAATCAGGAATCAACTTCAGGCGGTTAGTATAGTCGCCTTGAAACAAGTTGAAGGTAGAGTCCGTGCTATGTAGAGATACATAGAGTGCTACTAGTGTATGTATACTGAGCAACAACAGGAATCTCTCGTACGCATAGTCATCTGTTTTCCCAGCGTGTCTAATGGGAAGAACTAGATACCTATCGATACCATGCGTTCTAAGCCACCTATACAGATGGGGTGTGAATCCTACCGCATCATTTTTTGCGTTATTACAGTGTTCCCTCCATCTTTGTATGATGGGCCTGGTAGTACAGCCTACATACACCTTCCTCGTCCATGGGCTAACCACGGCGTGCACTCCCCCCGTGTTCAAGTCTAACATACGCTCCCATCCATTCGCTCTTGCTAGGTACTTCTCCAGCCACGGAATCTGTCCTCGTGCAGTCAGTAATACCGTAGTCCTCGTAATAGCCGCCTCGATTTTCCTAGTCGTCTCCCCGCACAATCCTCGCCCCCTATACTCCGCACGTTGTGCGAGCCACTTATTTAGTGTTTCCCACAGTTGTGTGTTAGTGGGGGCTATGCACCGTCAGTCCGAGTCTTCCAGTCGCTCTGGTGTTGACTTGAGGATGATTCTGGGCTGTCGCATCATCGGTGTCTCCATCACAACTTTCTCTTTTATGGTCTCCTTTCTAGGTGTCTCGGGCGCCTTCCCCTTTCCGCTCAATGCCATGTCTTCTCCATTTTTGATTGCATCAAAACCCCCGCATCACTACAAGCAATGTCGTCGAAACTTTTGCAAACAAACTATGCAAGCTCATAATACAAACATCAAAAAAACAAACAGGCAAAAAAAAACGAAAAAATAAAATGAACAGCATTATAAAACCCTATTCGAAGTAGCTTTCGAAGTTCGCCAAAATGTTTCCTGAATTCGGTGTTTTTTCCAACTTTTTTGTTACTCGTCCAAATACGCCGAAACTGAATACAGATATACCCTAAAGCTTATACATAAAAAAAAAAAAAAAAAAAAAAAAAAAAAAGAGCAAAAATTCCAGGAAATATGGCAGTTTCGGTGAAAAATTCACCGAAAATGACACCACCTATTGACCAGGAGTGGTTCGTATGCGAGTTGCACTTGTTGTCGCGCTAGCATCTCCACGACTTCCGGTTTTGTCGTGTACTTAATCCCCTTCTTTTCGCAAATTCTTCTGAGTGCATTCGCCTTCTTCTCCGAATATATCTTATGTGCTGAGATGCAGTACTCTATTAGTCCTTGTTGCGAGCAACTAGCCGAAAGGCCCTAGGCTCCACCTCCCTCTTTTGTCCATCTTCTCCTTTCGCAGACTCATCTCGGTGTTCGCTCTCCCTTCCTTCCGTAGGTGCCCTCGTGGAGCATTCGCCCTTTTCGTACACCTCCGGTGTGGCCTCCTTAGTAGGTGCCACCATCTTTCCTTTTCTGCTCCCGGCCTTCGCCCTCCTCGTTCCTCCCCGCTTCCTGGACCACGTTCGCTTGATCTGTATGTCCGAGTCACAAGCGGTGTCTGTGATACTCGAGTACGAGTCCACCTTCGTGGTTGACTCGTCGCTTGTGTCGGAGTAGTGTTTCCTCTTAGTCTTTCGTAACTTCCGGCGGCCTCTCTTCCCTCTCCGAGCCTTGTAGACCGAACTCCTTGTGCCTCGCACGGCCTCCTCCGCGACCTGATTCTTCTTTCTCCACTCCTCGTTCAGATCGCTGCGCAGCTGGAGTTTCAATTCCTCCATCTTTCTTGCGAAATCTTGGTTCCTCCGAACTCCTTCCTCCTCTTTCGCCCTCTTCTCCTCCTCAGCTCTCCTTCTCTCCTCTTGTTCCTGTCTTTCCTTCCTTGCTTGCCTGAACTGTTCCTTTATCTCCTCGATTTTCGGGTCTTGTTGGTTCTGCTGGTATTGTCTTCCTCGTCCGGACCAGCAATCTCTGGCGAAGTGTCCGGGCTTACCACAGTTGTAACAGACCTTATTCGGGCCTCCTGTATTCCCGTACCCGCCTCCTCCGGGATTCGCCTGGCTCTGATTATTACCCCCATAGCTGCCCATTCCCCCAAAGCTCCCTTCGTTCCCGTTCGAGGGTCCAGTTGTCAGATACATCCTATCTCCCGTCCGGCGTGTCTGCAAGGATTTTCTATTATTCGCAACGTCAAACCTTCCCCTGGTTTGTTCGACTTCCTTCCCTACGTTTATCTCCCGTTGATGTCACCTTTCCCTTTACCTTCTACCGGTCACGTGGTTAAATCCGCCGTGTCTTAGATATTCATAAGTTGTATCCTACTATTCTCCTCTCTACCAACACCTCCTCCGCTTTCGTGATTCTTCAGTCTACCAATAGTTCGGTTGAACGCCTAATGTCTCCAGAGTTCCATGATCTCATCGTACCCTTTTTTTTCGTCATTTCTCAACGCTAGCATTGTGCTTTCAGTCAGGATCAGGTGCTTCATCAGCATGTCATACAGACTATTCCTTGCGTGTGTGTCCTCTATGCACTTGGCTAGAAAAAAACATTGGTCTAATTGCAGTCTTAATATAGCTATTCAAATACCATCTAAGCCGGCTATTGAAGGATGCTCGTCGTCTCCTAGCGGTCCTAATTCTCAGTCCGCGGCAGCGGAAGCACCTATGCGGCATCTTGAGTGATCAGAAGGCCGCTCCTATCAGTAAAAAACTCACACCAATAATCACGCACCCAAATCCGTACATTATGAACTGATAAAATTCCGCTTTCTCATCCTATCTCGATGCGTCAAGTGCGCGCATCCCCCATACGATTCTACGACACGTGGTGGTCACCCGCTGACTCCTCGTAGCGCGTATGACCCGATCACAATGTTACGTCCCGTCCCACTCGCCAGCTAACTCCTTACCTCGTATAAGATTCCCCTTTCTCAACCAATCTCGACCCGTCAAGTGCGCGCATCCCGAGTACAATCTCTCGGCATGTAGTGGTCACCCGCTGAAGTCCTCATAGCACGCATGACCCGAGCACGATCTTTAGTCACGTCCCACTCACCAGCTAACTCCTCGCCTCGTATGTTCGTCGACGCAGCCACCTACCAAGCATAAAACAGCTCCTGGTTACTACGTGCCTACGAGTTAGGCAGACTGCGGCTGCACAGCCCATGCGGGACAGCGGACAGCGGAAGTAGATAGACACCACAGGAAGACAGGAGATGTAAAAACTTTTCCCATCTCATATGTCAACAACAGCATCATCCACGTTTCTCTATCCAGGTCACCACCATAGCTAGCACTGGTGGATCCCTCTACCAGTTTCACCTGCCCACCGCAGGATCGTTAGGAGGGTGAACTCTAAAGAGTTCGCGTGCCAAGAGAGGGAACTTGAGCCGTGCTCCCCCGTATAAGTACTGACATCAAATAGCTTGTCCCTGTGCCCCCTGCCTCTTCCCTACTGACCCCTCCCAGTCTCTGCTCCAAACGTCCTCTGCGTTGTCCACAAGTCACAATCAAGAATAATTTTTGGTACGTTCCACAAAAAACCCGCTGTTTACTCATAACAACCCGCGTACGAAAGTCTTCGTTCTATGTTGCCATGTATTTGGTTGTCCAGTAAGTCTCTCACCCGCTTACCCGTATATCTCCCCCTGCCCTACTGTAATCATTTTCAAAAGGGGGACCCGCCGGCTCCTGGGGCTGTCCTAAAATATGTATGTCATGCGTCCCGGCAATACCTGAACCGAGGGCCGCTTCCGAAATCGAACTGAAAGCCAATAAAACGGAAATCGAAAAAAATTGAAAAATTGAAAAATTGAAAAATCGAAGAATCGCAGAACCGGCCTACCAAAATGATGGGACAACGAAAATCCGAAGAAAACGTCACGCAAATTCTTTCCACCTGCCCCCGCCCTTTCCCTGCGTCGGCAACCGTCGCCCCCGGTCCCAGCCTGTCCCTCCCTTGGGCCTTCTGCCGGGATGGCGGGGGCCTGAATCAATTTTCGTTGGGCCCTCGTCCGCCCGTTACGGTGGTACCTTTGTTGTTTTGAAGAGTATAGAGAAGATAGGGCAATGCGACAAATAACCCTCTCCTCCAAATTGCAGCTAACAGCAATACGTCGCTGATCAGTCCGTCTGTCTATCATTTTATATGTTTGTTCTTGTTGGGCCTTTCTTTCCTTCCTTTTATTGCCCTTTCTTTTGGATTCGTTGTTTGTCTATCCATTAGAAAGATCACCACTCTAACTCAAAATGGCTTTTCGGGTTTGGGCTGGTCTTGGCAGGAGTTCTGGAACCTTTTTGACTTGTACTGGGACGCTGTGTACCACCCAAGATGTGTAATTGATGATAGCATCTTGAAGTCCGAGGGATGGAGCTATCGCCTTGAGCATCCCGACGATGAATTAACGATCAAAGGTCAGTCGCATCAACTTAATACTACAATTCTCCTTGGCCACAGGTCTATCGTCCTGGCGGAGTTCGGTGTTCTGGCCGTGCGATTTGTGATCTTTACGGCCATGGTCTCATGTTGCTTTGTTTTGAGGTGCATCATGAACTGTTCTTTTCTGAGGATCGTGGTCAAAGCGTTGGATGCATTGCATCGCAGTGCCGCAGTTGCATTTTTTTCTTTTCTACATCATACAGATCTCTTTGTGCGGTATTGCCCAGAATTGACGTGGCGAGACTTGTCAGAAGCCAGATGTGTCAGGTTTGTTAGATTTTGCAGAATCCGTGGATGGTGCGCCAAACAGCTTGCTTTTCATTTGCTTTTGTTTTGCAGCATCCCTCCGCCACAGCATTTTTGTTTTTCAGAAAAGGCCGACGACTTGATGTATGGGGCCTCGCGGCACGACTCATCAAACACGCAAGATGGGAATGCATCTCCCTCTGGAACATAGAGACGCCCTATTTTTTAGCCTTTTTTTTCCCAAAAGGACGACGGCCTTGAGATATCGTCATTGAACCAACCGAGCCCAGGTAGTTCAGAATTGTCAGGATTCCAACTCAGCTTTGTATTTCAACAGTTCCTTGGTGTACCAACTGAGCTAGGTCTGTTCATGAGACACAAGCGCCCAGCATAGATTGCCGCCGCTGCGCCATTTTTACTTTCCGTCTCCCCATATCGAGTAAGCCAGTGGCTCACCTGTCTGTCGGCAGCACCAAGCTTCCACCGCCTTCCGCCATTGTACCTCGCCTCCGCTTCTGGCGCCAACCTCCGGCTGATCCATCTTGACTCCATCCCCATCTTACCTCGCCATCGCTGTCAAGCTTCCGCTGCCCCATCTCGACTCCGCTCTGTCTACCCAATTGGACTCCACCGCCTCTCCCCATCTCGACTTTGCCAGCCCATCGTGCCCCCTCTCTCTATCTGCACTTCTCTTCCTCTGCCCGTCTCCAGTCAGCCCACCCTCTAGACTCCGCCCCCTCTCCCCATTTCGACTCAGCTGTCTCCCCTCATCTCGATGCAACTGCCCCATCTTGACTCTGCCACCTCTCCACTTCTGAACTCTGCCCCCTCTCCAGCTCCATCCTGGCTCCACCACCACAGAGAGAGAGAAAGATATATAGATATATATATCTTTATATATATATATACACACACACACACACACACACACACACACA